TCATCATCACTATCAGATTTTTGCTGACTTTCTTCTACTTGAATTTGTTGTTGCTTAACAATTTCTTGAATATTTGCCTTAAATATTCCATCATGCCAACCATATTCACCATTAGGGAAAAGTAAAGGATATTGTAAAGGATCATAGGTACCATGTAATTCAGAGATACGTAAAAGTCTATTATCCTTTTTTCTGATAAGAATATCTCTTTCATACCTTGGAGTATTACTGAAACATATAGCAGCAACTTCTCCAGCTGTTGGTGCATTATATTGTCTCATATCCTTCCTATGAGTATTATGAATAAAAATTCCTAATACTTCTTTTTCTCCTTCTGTTCTATTTTTTTCTCCTGCAGTTTGAAAAATATTTATAAAGGGATTTATTGCAAGTAATTTTTCAGAAAGTTCTTTTAAAATCCCTTCATCTAAAGTATCTTCCATAATTTTATTTCTTCTTCTAATTTGATTATCAATATTAGAATCATTGAAATATATTTGAGCAAATTTTGGTAGTTGGCTTTCATCAATTGGCATTAAAAAACCAATTTGATGATAATGTTCACACTGAATCCTATAAGTATAATTTTCTTCTCTGGCATCAGCAAGATCTTTATCTAAATTTGTACTAATTGAACTAAAAGCAAATACTTGATTATATGCTCTTATTTTATTTACAAATGGTTCTTTAGATTTAGGATCATTTGTTGTAAGAAATTTAAATAATTTCTGTGGTGATGGAGCAAGTGAAGCTAATTGCACTTGTCCATTTAAGCAACAAAGACTTTTTGCTTCTTCTTTTCATTTTAATGCATAACAATGTTCACAAATAATGTCCATTTTTCCTAATCTATGTTTTCCATCCTCTATATCCTATCCCTCTACTCTTTCCTCCTGATAATTATCTAAACTACAATGTTCTATTTTAAAAAATTGTTCATATTGTTCTTTTTTCTTCTCCTCATATTTCTTTTTCATTTTTTTTCTATTTTTTTTTCTTTGTTCTTCAATCTGCTCAATACTCATAGATGCTCTCCTTTTTTGTTGTCTTAATCTAGCAGCTTCTTGTTGATTTGATCTTGTTCTTGTTGCTACTGGTGAAGTTTGAGACCTTGTTCTTGATAAAGGTCCTGTAGCAGATAATACTTCTGTTTGAGAAAAAGATTTTTCAAGTTTTTGATAATATCTGTATTTAGCAGATTTTATTCTTGCTAATCTTTTTTTTTCTTCTTCTTCAGTTTCATTATCAGGTTTAGGATATTTATCTAATATGTGTTGAGGTGTTGGTTTTACTTGTCTTGGCATTTTTTTATCTCAAAAAGAAAAATTTAAAAATAATACAATTAATTAATTATTTGATAAATTTTTAAAAAAAAACAAAATATTTATTGAAAAAATAATATAAATTTTTAAAATTTTTACTTTTGATTATTACAATATCTTTTTATATTTTAAATTTTAAAATTAGTATTAATTTTATTATTAAATTTGCATTAAATTATCTATAAAACTTACTATTTCTTTATATCAGTAAATATTTTAAACTGTTAAAAAAAAAAATTATTAGTTTAAAAAAAAAATTGTTAAAAAAAAATTATTAATTTAAAAAAAATTGTTAAAAAAATAAAAATTTTGAAAAAAAACTATTTTTTTTATAAAAAAAAAATGGTAAAAAATTTTCTAACGAAGGTTTGATACAAACTCCCAAAATAGATAGATAGATGCATATTTATTTATTTAATTTAATATTAATCTATATAAAGATTAATACATGCATATCTATTTATTTAATTTAATTTTAAATTATATAAGGTAAGAAAATCATTTATTATGTTCATAAAACGTCCCCCGTATATATGTTATGTTATGCATGTACCGTCCCATTACACATATCGTTTCGTTACTTTATGAATATCATTATGATACACATATCATTTACGTTACGCATGCGCCGTCCCATTACACATATCATTTCGTTACTTTATGCATATCGTTACGGTACACGTATCATATCTATTCCTATACAATTTTATTTATACAGAATAAGTAGTGAAATTAAGTAATATTTAAAAAAAAAAAAAAAAAAAAAAAAAAAAAAAATTTATACGTACAAATTACCGGTACTTCGTTCTGAGCGATGGATGTGATGAATCATGGGGTGTGATGAATAAGAATTTATTAATTAATCATATTAGTAAATTATTATTTATCACATGATAATCCATCACATCCTTTAATCCTTTAAAGTTACATAAAACAAAGTTCTGCGTCACACTTTTTACATAGTCAGGTCACGCATAAAATCGTGACACAGAACTCCCCTTTATTTACGTAAGGATTTTACCTGAGAAGTTTGCATCATGATACAATTTGCATTTAGTGTGTTTATTCAATATAAGGAAGGTTTATATCGCCTTGTTGACTTCTGTCGGCACCTGGAGCCCACCACCCGCTTGCTTTTTGATGATCGAATCCATGAGGACCCCGAAGTTCACTATTTTATTGAAAAAAAAGTTAAAATATATACATTATTAAAATTTACAAATTATAATAAGCTTATTTGTATTCAAGAACCTGCGAAATTCTTTATCTAGTTGAAGCCCAGAAAATGCTTCCTTTACGGCTGTTCCTTTTTTTTCATCATTTACATCTTGTTGCGATTGATGTTCATCAATGAGTTTCAAATTTTTATTAATTCCTAGAGTCTCGTGTATACCCTGTTCACTGTCTTTGGCCGCTTGCGGTTGTTCATTTTTTTGTTTCGACATAACGATAAACTTGATAAAAGAAATTTGTCAAAAAAAAAAAAAAAAAAAATGAACGAACGTATGTAAGTAGAATTAAAAATGGTATTTCAAATGGATGATATCAGTATTATCTTATCATATAATGCTTGATATAAAAATGGTGTAGCGTCCTAAATACGTAAGATGATGCAATTAGTGATGTGTTAAATTTTTTTTTTAGCATTATTCGTATGCATAAGGCCTTGAATATAAGCCCACTCTCGAGCCAAATTCGTTACCCAAGTCTGAATACTTACTATATTTAACATAAGTTAACATGCCAGGACAAAGAGCTTCTCCTTCAAACAGTAAAAAAAAAAGTTAAACTATTTTATCAACTCAGAGTTTCTACTATGCAGGTTTTTTTTCATAGATTCTATTAAAATTTATTTATGTAATGTTATCCCTTAAACCATCCAGTAGGCAAATTTGTCTGCTAAAATCTTTTTTTTCAACTTTTTGCAATTATATCTGATTTTACTTATTAATTATATTTCTTTTTTTAAATTAGAATTAAAGTATATAATTTTGTAAACCATCTTGTGATTTCAAATCATGTGTTAGTAGTATATATATACATGATGTTAGTAATATAACAATTATCTATTAATAAAAAAAAATCAAAATCAAAAAAAAATTTTAAAATTATAATAAAGGTAAGTTTATTTTCGAATTTGTTTTTTTTTAAAAATACTAAGGTATTTTTTGATAAAGAAAAAGAATTCATGTTAGTTCTAATATCTTGCTAACATTTTTTAAACAACTTGAGTTCAAATAATAAAGAGAATAAAGATATTAACAATAGTAGCAAAAAAAGTTACAAATAATCAAAAAGTATATATAAGTTGCTACTACTATTTTCAAATTTTAAACTATTAGTTTATTCAAAACAATTGCATTAGGTATTTGTCAATTTGTTATCAAATTATGATATCAAATTTTCAAAATCAATTAACTTTTTTTTGCTTTTTTTTACAAACACTTTACTTGATAAAATCATCTTAAATATAAATTTATACATATTAAATAAAGGTATTAACTTTGCTAAAAAAGATTAGAAAAATATAAACTACAAAGATTTTATTATTTAGATTATATTAGTTATTTACTAGAAGATTTTTAAGCTGTTTTCACTTGATTAGTACTAGAATAATAATCTAAAACTTCTTATATATCAGATTTCAAAATAAATACTGTTAAAACAGTTTGAACAAATTAAGAGATACTTGTATATCTCTCTATCTGTAGTAGCTATTAATTATTATTTTAAAAAATTAGAGCTATTACTTTTTATATTTGAAATATCTTAGAACAACTTTATATATCAGTCTCAAATATCTTGATTAATAAAATAATAATAAGGTTTTCTTAAAAAAATATTCATAATATTCATATTAAGAACAAACTAACTTTAGAAGAATTTAATATATTCTGCTTCAAATTATTAATTTTTTTTAAAATATTATTACTTTATAAATCTGAATATACATTCACTTTTTTGCTGACATTATATGTTTCTTTAAATAATATAAAAAAAGTAAATAAGCTTAACTAAATTAGTTATCTAGTTTACTATCTTGTTACATAGCTTTTATATTATCAGTTTTTATTTAATATCTATATAAATAACTATTTTTTTAATGTTTCTCTTTTTCAAAACCTTTAGCAAATCAGTATTAGTATTTGTAATACTGTTTAAAAAACAATTTTAAGGTTTTCTAAAAAACTAAAAGTAAAAAATAATTTGTAACTTGACTAAGATATATATTCTAGCTTTATAGTAAATAGAGTATTAGCTATATTTTAACAAGATAATAGTCTAGTTACAATATTATCAACAATTTATAGTTTTGTTAATAAATAATAAAATATAGAATATGAAAAACAATAGCTAAAAAAAACAAGTATTAATACAAAAAAAATATATGTAGTATTTGGTTTTTAATTAAAAAAAAACTAAGAATTTCTAAGATAATCAAAGATCATTCATTTTATTTTAATTTTAACTCATTCTTCTTTTTTATCTGTTCTTACTTATCTATCAACACTGTTTAATACCTCTTTCTGCACTCTTTTTTCTTTTTCTTTTTTTTCTTTTTTTTCAGAATCATCTAGCTACTTATTTTCTTTGTTCTTATATTTTTTTCTGTCTCATTTTTTCTTTTTTTCCTTAGCTGTAATATTGTTTTTCTTTTTTTAGTCAATTATAACTTCATATCAGAATTTTTACAGACATTCATAGAAACATTCTTAGAAACATTTTATAAAGCTAACTAGAATCTTACTTGCTTTCTTTTTTGATTGAGTTATCTTGTTAAGGTTTAATAACTGCTTAATACTTATAAGCCTTCTTATATGCATTCTTCTGTTTTACATTTTTTCTTCTAATTCTGTATTGTAAATTGCTATCTTAAAAGAGTTTTCATTGAGTATAAGATTATATTTTTCTAAGACTTCTAGGTTTGTTAACTATATTATTTCTTTTTTTAGTTTTTTCCAAATACTTTAGTAGATTTTACATTTAGCTAGATGGTAGAATATCTCATCTTTCCTAAAGCAAGCTATACACCTTTGGCTTTTGTAAAGTCTAAAGTTCTTTTAGAAGCAAATATTTTTTATAAACAGAATTTTATTTATATATTTTATGCAAAACAAGAGATCTTGCTCTTTTTAAAGCTGATATATTTTTTTCTCTACATTTTCTTGAGCAAATCTCATGTGATTTTCTAATTTAATTCTGTATCAGAGTTAGTATTTTGATTATTAAGAATGATTTCAGCTGTTTTATTTAGATTTGTCTATTTTGTTTCATATACTATTGCTATGATAATATTTATGAAAGATCTGAGAAGACTTTCAATTACTTAACTTTTCTATTTTGATACAGCTAGTAGGTTACTAGATGGTATCTTCAGTAAGTTGAGACTTAGAGGTTTTTTCATTCTTTCTTTAGCTAATCTATCCATTTGATCATTCTATATATTTTCACTATAACTTTTGACTTTATACATTACTAAATTCAAGTCTTTTGTCTTGCAATAACTCTTAATTTGGCTTATTATACTTCTATTTTTCATCTTGAACTAGCTACATGTTTTGCTATTTATATTGTTTCTCTAAAACTTCTATTGTAGCTTTGCTATCTGTAAAGATATATATTTTAGCTTTGTATGGTGCTATAAGTAAAGCAAACCAGATAGTTTCTAATTCTTTACATGTTGAGAAAGGCTATTTCTCTAAATAACTACTAAAACTAATATTTCTATCTACTATGTCCTTCTCTTTAACAACCTATTCAATACCTATTCTACTTACTTCTATTTTATTGCTATCACTTTCTAAAGCTCTATCTGTATAGTACTCAATTACTTTTCTCCCTTTTAGTCTTTTATAAGCTTTTATTAAATTTTCTCTTAAATACTTTTCTTCTACTGTATTTTGAATGATTACAGATTTTAGGCTGTTTGCTGTAATTTCTACTCTCAGCTCTTACTTAAAATTGCTATCTTCTACTATTTTTTTATGTTTACTAAATACTATTATTAGAGCTTCTAATATTAAACTATTTTCTTCTTTTCTTAATATATCTACTACTTAATACTACTTCTTATAGTTTATACTGATTAGACAGTTATTATTATTGAGATTTCCTAGGTTGCATTTGTTATACTTAAAAAAAAACTAGCTTCTTATTACTTATTTGTTTTCTTTTCAATATGTTACTATTATACTTTTCTTAGTTTTTCTTGTAGTTTTGTCTAAATGTATTACTTCTTCTTTTTTGAAAAAGATCTACTTCTTTTTTCTTTTGTCTACAAATACTTTTTTAGGCTAAATTTTACTTGTATTTCTGTTAGATTCTTCAACCTTATATATATCTTATATCTTCTTTAAGTCTCTTTCTTTCAAGATTTTTTCTTTTAACTTTGTAAACTAACTTGGTATACATCTCTTTCTTTTCTCTCCTCTTAGATATTTTAATTGACATCAGGTTAGTAGAGTACTTTCTGAGTAGTCTATTACTTGTTCAAGAGTAAAGAGATTTATTTTGTCTAAGTTTATAAAAGAGTTTAACTCTTTATTGCTTAACAGATTTGCAATTTCTATTCCTTTTAGATTGAGTATACAGGAGTCTTCTGTAAGCTCTTTTATCTTTACTTCTAGCTTAGCTGCTTTTTAGAGTATTTTTAAAGCTAAATTATATTTGAGTATTACTTTGTTAGATTTACAATACTTACTTATTGGGCTATTTAGGTATTTTTTTTGTAGCTACTTTTCTTTGATTCTTAATTTGATAGTTTTTTCTAATACTTTCTGCTAGTTTATATATATTGTTAGTTCAGTGAAGTAATATGCAAGTTGATATAAACATGGATGATCAAGTATTATGAGAAGCAGCTACTGCTATAACCAATCTAGCTCGAGCTTTAGGTACTAGTAGTAGTGAAAAGACTCTGTTTAAGATTGAATCTTTTCGAGGTGATAGAACTTAAGACCCTATAACTTGATTAGATAATTTTGAACAAGCAGCTAAAGCTAACAGATAGAATACTATCTAACAACTTTAACTTGCATTTGCTTATCTAACTGATAATGCTCAGGAATAGCTCCAAAGCTTAGTCAATACTTCTACTTATTTTAAACATTAACGGTATGAACAGGTAGTTAATAGAAATAATATCTATAGTTTTTATTATCTGTTTAGAGAAAAGTTTTGCACTCTTCAACAAAAAGCTACTTGGCAAAAACAGCTCTTTGCAATACAACAAGGCTCAGATATAGTTGATACTTATGTTAACAAATTTAAACAATTAAAAGAATGAGTTGATTTAAAAAATAATTTTCCTGCTACATTCCTAATTCAACTTTTCATTCAAGAACTTCGACTAGAATATTCTGTAAATGTCCAAGTATCAGAACCAGCAAACCTAACAGCAGCTATAACTGTAGTACAATGCTAGAAAACTGGAAAGTTCATAGTC